AGAAGAAGAAGAAGAAGAAGAAGAAGAAGAAGAAGAAGAAGAAGAAGAAGAAGAAGAAGAAGAAGAAGAAGAAGAAGAAACTGATATGACTCTTTTAGGGAATGAATCTGGCATTTATGGCAACTAAAATTGGCGTTCCTTTTGAACCATCACTTCGGCTTCTAGAAATACATGTATAAATACTTGTACAAAATATACAAGGATATTTGTATCAAAAATATTCACTGCAGTAGTGTTTCAAATGGTTCCAAACTGGAAGCCATGTAAACTCCCTCCAGCAAGCAGGGGCTAGTTGTGTAAGGCACCTGCAGGGTGGCTGTGTCCACCGCCTCAAACAGTGGAGGCTCTGTAACCTTTGAGGTAGCACCCCCTTCTCCTGACCACCCAGACATACCCAGAGAGGTGCCAGCTCAGCCCTCGCTTCCATGACCCACTCAGAGATTCATCACGCAAACATCTGGTATCCCTAGGAAAGCAAGTTCCCAGGGCAAGGGGACACCCAAGGAAAGCAAATGCCATGAAAGGAAAACACAACTTACAGCATATAAAGCTTAATTAATGAACCAAGAATGAAAAACTCAATAGATGACATGATTGGCATAATGGATAGAGCCAAAGAATAACTAACCGATTAACTAACTAAACTGGAGCTGGGAAATATAAAGAAAAAGTAAAAAATGATGAAAAATTAACATAGAGCATTGTGTTCAAATAATAGAAATCCTAGAAAGAGAGGGAAAAATAATTGGAGAGAAAAGATTTGAAAAATTGAAAACTGATTATATGCCAGAATTAAAAGAAGATATGAGGATTTACATTGAAAGGACTTGAGTATCTAGTAGCATAGAAAAAGAACAAAACCTACATCTAGACAGACAATAGGAAAAAGTATATGCCTCATATTCAAAGAGAAAATTCTGAGTCCAAAGAAAAAAGAAATTCACCTTTAACAAGAATTAGATTCTTTTCACCTCAATACAGATTAGATTCTTTTACACCTCAATACTAATACTGGATATGGGAAGACAGTGGAATAATCTTTGAAGACAGTTTTCAAAATATTGAGATAAAAAATTAAGTCTAGGGTTTTCAGCCAGTTAAACTAAAATTTAAATGAGGGTGAATCAGGCATACAGGATTTTTGGAAGTTTCCCCTACAAGACCCTCTCTGAAGAAGTAGTCCAGCAAGAAGACACATAAATATAGAAATCTGGTATAAGCTATGGTGGGTTAGGATGAATACACAAGTTAGTAAAATTTAGTCTTCTAAATGAGTCAATATCAAAAAACTTAGGTACAGTGGCACACACCTGAAATCCCGGTACTCTGAGAGGCTGAGGCAAGAGGATTGCACATTTGAGGCCAGCATGGGCAACTTAGTGACTTAGTGAGAACTTGTCTCAAAGGGAGAAGGTGTGTCTAGGGATATAGCTTAGTGCAAAGGCTCTGGGTTCAATACCTAGTACCAAAACCAGACCAAAACCAAACCAAAAAAATAAACAACAGCAAGAAACTCTGCACACTCACAACAAATCCAAAATGCACATTCTATGCAACAGCAACATGATTTTAGTAGTTATTAGTAGGTAAGCCTTCCCAGGAGAAGGTAAAAGCAGGTTAAGATATAGTCATTTTTGGGGGAAGATAAAAGTATTGATAAACTTAAGTAATTGAGAAGAAATAATGAACAAGGTTGATTCTTAGTAAATTATGCAAAAGTACCAGAAAAAAATTTCCATATCCTTAAATAGTGCAAAGTACTAGACATTATATTTGTATGCTTTATGTGGACATTGTTAGAATGATCCCACGAGGCAGGTATTGTCACTCCCAGTCTCTTGAAGTGTTTTAACCTAAAGGGCCACTGTAAGAGTCTTAATATGGCAACGTGGAAGCAGGCTGGGGTAGTGGGGCTGGGAATAACTTCTCTGCAAGTTATTGGTAAATGAGGCTTCTAGGTTTGGATTTACCCCAAGAAAATCCAGCTGGGATGCCTGTCAGCACTACCCTTCACATTTCTGGCCTCAGTTCCCCAACTGTAAAGTGAGAAGGATGGACTGGAGGTCTTCCGCTCTGATAGGTGGAGTCTGGGTACAATTCTGATTAATACATCAGTTCTGGACATGTGGTCCTCAGGGCAGTGTACCAGCTGGAGTTTCTCAAATGTTCTAGGAGTTTGTTAAACCTGCAAATACCATCCCCCCAACCCTGAATGGGAGATGGAGCAAGAGATCCAGCAATGTCTCTTTTAATAAGCATTCCAGGTGATTTTCTGATGCATGCTCAAGTTTGAGAACAGGTAGATTAAGGGGAGAGCCACATGTGATTTCACCTGATTCACCCAGAAACATGGCTCTGTATTTAGCTTATTTCCTTTTAGGTTTTTTTTTTTTTTTTTTTTTTTTTTTTTTTTTTTTTTTTTTTTTTTTTTTGTCAAACAATAAACATGAAAATGTAGGACAGGTCAAGTGTCTGTCTCCCAAAATTTACATAGTGTAGAATGGCTAGTAGTACCCAAGAGGTTCCCATCTTCACAGTAACAAGTCGGGTAGGCAAAGGTGACTTTAGCACTCCCAGAGAGGGAATATCATTTGTCTTGCTCACATACTTAGATAGGGAGTGGGCCCAAACTAGAATTATAGCTCTAATTTCTCACTCAGTCATCCTTTTTTGCTTGTCACTGCCTGTGCTCCACAGTCCTGAGCAACCTTCCCCACCGTGGGTGTGGGATACTCACCGCAGGCAAGAGCCAGGAGGTGGGCCTGCCAGGTGAGTGCTATGAACATGCCTCCAGTTGCAATGCAGGCCAGAGAACTGTTGAAACCCCAAAGTCCAGAGTAGATGTCCTTGAAGGGAGCTGCAAGACTGACTCCTGTTGGGTGAGATAGGAGTGGTCAGAGCTTTGGACAAAAGGCAGGATGCTCTGGAATGGGTCTGGGGTGAGGTTGTGGGGTTCAGGGAAGCATCCCGAGAACTCTCATTGATTCCTGTGAAACAGAGACTTCAAGGAAGGTCTGGAGTACAGAAGATGCCTGAGACTATGCATGGGACTGAGGAGGCATTCCATATCTGGCGATCAGTCTTGTGCTTACCTGCTACTACCCCCAGCAATGATCCAATTGCAGCATGCAGGCACATGAGTGGGGAGGAGAGTAGGATGGCGCCCAGGAATATGCTTCCTGTCCACGGGTTATCACAGCCATATATCTGACCGACCCCTATTGGCAGGGACTTCAATAGCTGCAGAAGCAAGTACAAAAATGAGGCCACTAAAACAACTGAACAGAAACCTTCAGGATACCTACAAATTCAGATTCGATTTAGCATACCTTATCTTTCAATATTAGTATTACTTTCTATATTAGTATTACTAAGTTTTAAAATTCTTTTTTAAGCACAGAAAAAAATCACAGTTGTTCTTCAGCTTTATTCCCAGAGGTACACTAGCCCTTCCCTTGCATAGCTGAGCATCCTCTCCCAATGCCCACATTCACTGGCTATCCTATTCGTCCTGACTCTTGGCCTTGGTCACAGCCGGGCTCCCAGTGTGGTGTCAGTGCTTCTGGCTCTGAGGATCTGCCAAGCCCTCCCCTGAGGATGGCAGGAACCACAGCTGATGCTTCTTTTGTTCCTGACATCAGTGCTGAGGGCAATTAATCAATGCATCCCTATGATCAGTAGAAATATTACTATTGTGCAATTTGGTTGCTCATACTAAGGCCAGACACCAGAAGCCAGTTTATCTTATCCATAATTTACAAGCAATTATCGGCAAATTCAAAGACTGAACAGGGTTTTATCTCTGACTTTGACAGCATAACTATCCCTCAGGAGGCCTAAGGGTGGGAAAGGTGGATGCTATGGCAAATAAGTGTGCCAACGATGGGTTCATAATGAGGAAAGGATGACTTTCTGCTGGGCTGACCTTCCCCTGCCCTGGGTCAGCACAGCACAACAGTGTCTTCCATGAGGGCAGCAGAGTGAGTATCTAGGCTGACCAGTGCAGTTGGTACTAGCTGGGCAGCTACTGAACTTGCAGTACGTGACTAGTGAAGCTGAGGAACTGAGTTTGTAATTGCTTTGCATCTAAATAACTACATGGGGCCCATTATATGAAACCATAGTTCTAGATAGGTTAATCCTGCCTCATAATATTATCTTTCATGAGTAATTCTAATAAATCTTTGATTTTCCCCCTGAACTATTTACAATTTAAAGGCTATGTGAGCTTGTCCTGTGTTTTGATCACTCAGCAAGGAGACCAGTAAAGGGTGTTTTGTTACCTGATAGTGGAGGGACCAGTCCTTTGCACATTAAAAAAGGTAAAGCTTCTGATTTCAAACGTTCTCTTGTTCTCAAGGATCAAGAAAACCTAAGCAGATTTGCTGCAAAAATAGCAGCACGAAGAGCTGGAAGTTGATGTGGTTAACTATGTTTTTAAAAGTGCATGCTCTTTCCATGCCCACTGAAAACAGGTGCATACTATGCACTCTGTGATGCAATGGTTCTCAAATTCTGGTCCATATCACAATTTGTTTGTTAATACAAGTTCCCAGGCTCCACTTCTGGAGATTATGATTTAGGGCTCTGAGGTGGAGTCTGTTTTGGTATTTAAACAACTCCCCAGGTGATTCTTATGCTACCAAAGCTGAGAAGCCTGAGTTATTATTCTTACTCTATGACATACACCATGAAAAAGGCAGGACTGAGATTCTTCCATGAGCTCTGGGAGTAAGCATCCAGTTCCTTGGGCTGGGGAAGCAGTCATGAACTATTTAACCCCAGAGAAGAAGCTACCTGCCTGTAGTGCTGATCCTCATCACACTACCCACACAAGGCCAAGCTTGCAACAGTGTCTGACTTCCATGGAGCTACACTCTGGAGTTGATACAACAGAGTTTTAGACAGGGTGGGTGGGGTGGAGGGAGGTGGTGTTAGCTTTGGTCAAATAGTTATTTAAGAAAATCCCTTAGGAGCCGGGGGTGGTGGTGCACACCTCTGATCATAGCACTGCTAAGGCAGGAGGATCACCCCGGAGTCTGAGGCCACCCTGGGCTACATAGTGAGTTCTAGGCCAGCCTGATACACAGCAAGATTTTGTCTTTAAAAAAAGTCCCTTATGGGGCCGGGGATTTAGCTCAGTGGTTTCGTTGCCTGCTGCCCAAGCACAAGGACCCGAGCTCCATCCCTGGTACCAAAAAAAAAAAAATCCCTTAGATCCCCAAAGCCCTAGAGTAGAACAAATGTTTTAGATAGCAAGATGAAGGCAGAAAGGCATTGAAGAAATGAGTATCTAGAAAACTCTGGGAGTCATGGGCAATTAACCAGGAGGACGGTGGGTGTATTCCAGAGGTGGAGGGGAATGTGAGAAGATGATGTATCTTACCTCTAGGCCACTGAGGTCAGACCAGGTGATGTTGGGAACCTCGCTTACAGGTGTGATCAGTTGACTTGGAAAGAATAGATTGTGGTGTCCTGTGGCCGAAAGGTACATTGACAATGCCATGTTGAAAGGGAGAGTGAAGACAGGGAGATCCCACTTGCTGAACACTGAGTTCAGTGCACTTGAGAAAATGGGGCTGAAATGAAACAGAAGATAAGAATCTGCATGTGACGGAGAACCAGTTTGACTGAGTCTCTATACCATGGAGAGCTTTGTTTCATCTGCCAGTGTGTCCCTCAGGTGCTGTGTTGGCAAGCTTTCCACTGAAAGAAAACCTGGAATAAGTCCTAACCATACAGACACTTGTGCCAAAATACAGCCCCAAACCTACTCTTGGGTTATTTGGCTTTTGGAAAATTATACTCTGAAGTTACTTAAACTGCGTAAAATAAAAATAAAAAATAAAAGGGCCACAGGGTCAATCTCCATTATAGGGGAATAAAATTGACGGGGGTCCAGACAGGTAGGTTAGGGGAGTTCATGTAGGGGCAGTGGTTCTCAAAGTGAGGTTCCTGGACCAGCCTCATCAGCATAACCTGGAGAATTACTAGAAATACAAATTCTCAGGTCCCACTCTGGACAGACTGAAACAGTTGGGGTGGAGCAGCACCCATCTGTGTTTAATAAGAAGTTTTATAAGTTTGAGGACCATTGATGTAGGGAAGGAATGATAACTTGGCTGTACTTTAAAAGCCCCTAAAGAAATTTTAGAACTTCGATGTGTAGGCAACAGCCCAGACCAATTTCATCAGAATCTTGCTGGGTGTGAGTGTGTGTGACTTGCGGGTCACACGCATCAGAGAGCTCAGTGTGCAGTTGAGGCTGAAAACCTCTGCATGAGGGGGAAGGTGTTGTGGACATGTAACGGAATTGAATAAAAGGCCCAAATAACAGACTATAAAGAAATATACACTTTTGTGTGTGTGGTGCTAGGGACTGAACCCAGGGCCTTCACATGGAGCTACTCCCCAGTCCTTTTTTATTTTTTATTCTGAGACTGCATCTTGTTAAGTCACACAGTTGCCCAGGAAGGCTTCAACATTGCAGTTCTCCTGCCTCAGCCCCCCAGTGCTGGGCCCGCAGGCCTGTGCCACCATGCCTGGCTCTGAATATAATTTTTAAAAATTACTCATTTACCATATAGCTGTTTTTAAGGGTGCAGTTTGACACTCATCATGGTCATCCATTCATAGAATATTTTTTATTTTACAAAACTGAAACTTATATTCATTAAACACCAACTTCTCATTCCCTCTTCCCTCCATAATTTTTTAAAAGATATTTTGAAAACCAGGTACAACTTACCAAGTCATGGACATAACAGATACTGGCAGTAACAGCCACCAGAAATAGTTTTCCTTGTCTGAAAAGACAGCCATGAGTATCCCCACCAGTGTGGCGTTGTAACCATGGAGCCCGGCGGCTATGGATGACCTGTGGGCAAGAGACACAACAGGAGCATTGCTTAGGGGGGCTTGAGTTAGATTTGCACGTTAATAATGCTTGTAGCTTCTAGATCACATTTGCATTTGAAAACAAAATGATATTCGGACATGTGTTTCAAAGCCTACTAAGCACCAGACAAATACTAATAAAAACAAGAAGAAATAAAATATATGTAGTTAAAACTACAAAAGTGCACACAGAACAACCCCCTCCAAGGTGTTGCAGCGAAGGACAGGGCTCCAGCACCTGCTTTCAGTCTTTCATTGGGAAAGTTCTTATTTAAGGACTCTTATTTAAGTCATTAAGGGGGTCTGAGTCAAAGACAGCTTTTTGCATGTGAAACTGTTTCCTAAGTCTGATTCCTTAGTGAGAGATATACGATTCCTGAAATGTAACTTCCCTTGCACAGTGTCTTTATAAACATTAGTCTTCCAACTTAGCATATATTTTCATGTTCCTGTGCTTCTATGTTTTTGTCTCTAAAGCTATATCTCCAAGTTATTGCCAAACAAATAGTGATTATTTTTCTTTTACTTGGCACATAATCATTTGCACAGTTAGCTCCTAACTCTTTTGAAACCACTTTCTGCTTGGAATTTGACCCCACTTCTAAAGATTGTCCTGTGGGTACCTTGCTCTCAGGCCATAATGATTCTCATTTCATAATGAGAACTAGAAACCCTGAAAAATGGAAATATTTCTGTAAAATAAGTCCCATGGCTGATCCCCCCATCCCCAAGTTGGCACTGTCTAGCACCACAGGTTCTGTTTCCCTGGAGTCCTGAACTCAAAGGCAGTGTTTGCAGGAGTCGTGGAGAGTGAAGATACTGAATGAGTGGGTGAGGTTGAATGCAAGGCCTGAGGGCAGGGGCTGTACCCAATGAGCTACAATGGGAGGAGCTGGAAGCGGGTGGCATAGGAGCTTCTTGGTTTGTTTCTTACTGGGCCAGGAGCCACCAGTGCAGCAGATAAGGTGATGTCAGGTCCATTCATAGGACTGAGAGCATTAGAGGTGGGACTCATTGTTAAATTATCCTTCAGGGGATGCAGGAGGTGATACGATTGGTGTTGGTGTAATTCAGAAATTGGAACTACACTTGGTGACAGTGGAGAGCTCCGCAAATACTTGTCATCCCAAAACTGGCTTGGAACTTTAATGCTTGAGTTTGGTTAGTTGAAATTGGATGGTGACATCTACAAGTCGTGGAATGCCACAGTTAAAGCAAAGCGATAGGAAGACATGTAGTCACTTAAAAAAATAAAAGACAAAAGATAATTCTGTGTAATAATGCTGGGGATTGAACCCAGGGGCTTTGCACTGAGCTACATTCCCAGGCCTTTTATATATTTTTAATTTCAAAACAGGGTCTTAAGCTGCAAAGTTGCCCAAGTTGCATTTGAACTTGTGATCCTCCTGCCTCAATTTCTCAGAGTATTGAGATTACAGAGATGTGCCAGTGAGAATTGCCATCAAAAAGAATTTTTAAATAAGTGTATGTTTGTAATACATAACATATATATTTATGGTGAGGTATTGGTACATATAGATGTTGCATATTGATCATTTTTACTTTCCCTTCTCCTCTCCTTGCTACCATCTCCCCCATCCCTAGATCCCTTTCCCATCTCTACAAAGTCTATCTCCCTGTTTCCTTTCTTTTATTTTTCCCTTTAAATTATTTGTACTTTGGGTTGTCATTGTAATGTAGTCTTTTAGGACCAAGAAAAGTAAAAGAGACTTGAAAGCAAACACATGTAAATATGTCTTGTCTGCTGAATATCTGCCAAGGAAATGTGGTTGGTTATATTTCACTGGAACAAAACAATGAAGGAGTATTAATATGGCACAATCCTAGGACAATCCTAGAATTTGTGGTTATTCATTTCTCTAGGAGCTGAGCTGACCTTTTGTGTTCTCTGAAGAATGAGTTTGATAAACTAATGATAGAAACAAGATATAAAGCAGGCTATTAAACCAGTAAGACTTTCCAAGAATTCATACGCGTTTTTGCCCAAACAAACCAAATGCTAATGAAAAGTAATTTTCACAATCATTAAGGAAGATCACTTTAGAACTTCTCCTGGTGATTACTTGTAGCTTAGTTCTGGCTCTCACATACTGCCATGAGAACCTGGCATCATTTAGCCTGGGCATTTATTCAGATAACAAAAATAAGAGACTGTAAATGACTCCCTGGCCTCTGACTCAAGGCAAATAGGAAGAACTCTGTGGAATAAAGGTTGTTTCTGCTGGGCAGGGTGTGGCTCTGTCACCACTGCCCACAGTGGGTGGTTGGTTAGTGTCTCAGAAAGGGAGCTGAGAGTTGGCATAGAGGGACATGCCCACCTGTCCTGGCCCAGCAAGAGGGCTGTCAGAGTGGAGACCACTGTTCCCAGACAGCCATTGAGAGCCCACCATGGGTTCTGGATCAACAGTCCTATTATAATCAGGATCCCACTGATGGGGTTGCTGACGAACACCACTTGGGATATACCCCGAAGAACCCAGTCAACGAACTGGAGTGCCACAGGTTTGTCTGGAAGAGATGAGATGAACACAGCTGAAAAAACAACAGAACAACTGAATCTCCTGCCCAGCCTCCATGCTCTGAGCAAAATCATCTCAATCTCCTGGAGGTGAATCATTTTTTATACTCCTGGAAGCTTCTTTCCTCTGAACCCTTTGCCCTTTTAATGGCACTGAGATTCCTGAAATCACTTAATTTCTTTATGCTCAACCCAAGCTGCCCTTACTAGAATCTAAGCTTCAGAAAGCATCTAATGCACTAACCATGCTTACACTGCTAAGCCTAGGACATGAATTACTAATAGTAAAATTTTACCAAGTAAAAATTTTATTTTTAGTATTGAAATTACAAGATGGAGCCTGGTACTTTCCTTGAATAGGAGTAGAACCCTGTTCTTTACTGCTGTTCCCATGAGGAAAAGTGAAGGAGTTTGCAAGTTACAAGACAAAGAGAAAAATGGAGGGTAATATATTGGCAATATATATAAGTGGAAATGTCAGCTAACTATTTCCTCCAGAGCTACTTCTCCCCTCTCTGCAAGAGATGGATGCATAAATACCTGTAAGCCATTTGGCAAATTCTTTCATATTGCCAGTGACATAGCCGAGTATCTTGGGGGTACACCTTCTCTCTTGATGTGACGAAATCTGGCTTTCAGCCTGGTCTAGTTTGACCATTGTAGGGATATCCTCCATGGCTCCTTCTTCCTCTGGCTCCTTGAGGGAAGGACAGAACTCATAAATACCCTAATGCAAAACACTCCAGGCTGGCCAGTTTAGGACATGATCACAGTCCCACAAAAACTGAGTTTAAAGGCATTCATCTGGACCACACTATCTCTAAGAAAGCACTATTTTCCCTCTGAAATATCATCATGGAGATTATTGCACAAACCCCAATGCCACACTACTTTTGTCACCAACGCCTTCAATCCTATATCACGAGAAGGCTCTGGGCTGTCATATTATAAGGTTCAGTTTCTAGTCCAACACACATTTACTGAACCCCTACTTCCTGCACTTCAGGAGCTTAGTGTAATTAAGAAGAAAGAAAAACAGTTAATGTCAATATAACAAGTCAAGTAATAGTATAGAAGGGGCTAAAATCAAGTGATTGTGCTTCATGCTGTCAACTAAAGGGGCAAGAAATCAGGTTGCAAAGTGGCCACTACGTAGTACAAACTGATCCACTACTTTCCAAGACAAGTAGCTGTTTTATATTAAAGCTTTATTTTTCAAAAGATGAGTTTTATTTAAGACTTTGAAAAGGAAAAAGTTTTAAAATAGTTTGTGTGTGTTAATGGTCCAAGAACACCTCACCCCTACTATTCAAGTCCAAGATTGCTTGAATTTGCTCTTAATTCATGCAAGCGTCTTTACTTTTGGAATCTATTATTTAAATCTATTATGTATAAAAATAAGCAAGAATGATTAACCACAAAGGTGTTACAATTGAGAAAGGTTAAAATGGACAATACTTTCAAAACCCAAGGAGCTATAATCTAAAGATTTTAGGATATAAGAATGTACAGGGCATAATTATAGCAGCATACCTCAGGAAAAAAAGAGTGGTATAATCATAACCTGTGCTCACTAGGGGGCTATATTTCATATAAGTATGTAATGGGAGAGCACCAACATCATGAGAATATTGTCCCCCATAGACCAAAAAATGAAGGTTTCATGGTGCTGATGGATATAAAAGAATATCAGTGACAAAATCCCAGAGGTAGGCAGTGGGATGAAGACATGGTCACACCACCCTGAGTGTGTGAGAAAAGCCCAGAGCACAGCCAGATCAATAGGAAACAGAAATCTCAAAACCATCAGACTCTAGAAGGCATAAATATGCAATGGTGAAGCCACAGCTACATCAGACATGACCAAAGAAATGTGCAAAGTCCATGCAGATAAACCAGCTCATTTTACCCCATGGCAAGGCTGTGAACGAAAGGGCTTCCTGGTTTCTTTTGGCCCTCCTGTTTCACTTACTAAATCCCACAAATAGCTGTTAACAGATAATAAAGTCATGTCTTTTTCTTTTTTCTTTCTGTTTTTACATCCTGATTCCAGGTTAGGTTTCTATTAATTCCAGTACAGAAATAAACTGTACTGATTTATTCATGAGTAACAATTATACTTCCATTGTATTATTCACTGTCCAATTAACCATCCTGCTTTTAAACAATGGTGAACCATTAATCATTGCACAAAGTGAAAGCCCTTTATACAATACATTCCAGATTAAGTTCATTCTTGGCAAAACAATGTCAGAAACCAACATTTGTCAGAGTTTTAATGAATCTTTAAGAATTTCTTATATTGAAAACTGTGGAAGGCCAGGAACCTAAAGTAAGTCTCAGCATTTAACGATGTAAAACTGAGTTATTAAATGTTTATGAAAAATCGCCTTTTATTTCATAAGCTAAGTAATATCTTTCCTTCTTTTCAGATATCTCCCCTTTAAATCCCATAACTCCAAATTGTGCCTGGTAAACCCCTCTCTCAGCTACAGTGGCCCATTTTGAAAGCCATGGGTATGAGAGACACTGGGCTTCAACGCAGGGAAAAGATGAGAAGCTCCAAAATACAATTCCCTTGAGTTTCTAGAACTGAATATATCAAGTTTGAAAAGTGGAAGCTGTAAAGGAGAACACCAAAGTGGCATTTTCCATCCACTGCAGAAGCAAATTCCAGAATAAACAAATTCATGTTCTCAAAATTTCCCGTATATATTTATTTTAGAAAGTTTTAAGTATCCTACCTCCTTAGAGATTTTGGAGATAGAGATCTGAAACCTGGTAATATAACTGGCCAAGCATGATTGAGAACCTGAATGGCCTGGGTCCCCTGTTGAGCCACTCAAAGTTAGTGAAGACTAACTTCTTTGTCCAAATCCCTAGCCCAACCTAGAAAAGGCTTATTGAAATTTGTGTCTCCGATACCTCCATATTAGATGCACTTCAAGGCTAGGATATAGAAACAGGGGGCTTCTCCTGACTTGATCGGACAATAGCTGCATTCCAGAGGCCTTAAGAATCATTTATTTATTTATTCTGAACTATGAATCCTTCTGGAGTCCCTGGGACCCCTGACACTTACCTGCTTCATGTGTGAAAACTGGCTAGGAGAAACCAATAGTTCACTGTAGAATTATATCAAGCTAGAATACATGCATTTCTTTAGGAAACCAAGAATCCATACATCCTATATGGGAAGGCAATGCAGGGCTCTGGGCAGAGACTTTGTAATTAATGCTAAATCCTTACTAAAAAGCCCATTACAATTCAGTGGAGAGGAGAGGACAGTAAAGTAAAAGGAATCTAAAAGAAGGAGGAAAAGCATAAAATCCTAGACTACATTTTCCTGGTGTTTCTAAAGCTGTCAAAACTTCCTGGTTCAGTGGTCTAGCCCTAAACCATGGGGAGTGTCCTGTGACTTTTAGGCCTGAGACTCCCTGTGCCTTTGGCTTGGCCACAGCCCCATGCTCAGCAGAGCCTGCTGCTTCCCCACTTCCCAGGTCTGCTCAGAAAAGACACACCATGCCCGGGGAGGCTCCCAGGATCCCCGAGACAGAAGCTGTAGGAAGCAAGCATACCTGTTCTTGCTGCCCATGGGTCAAGGCCAAGCTTAGCTGGATGAAGCCTTCATGCTCTGCTTCACTAGCGTTATTTCCAAAAGGATCTGTCCAAAGAGGACCATGACGGGTGTAACCAGCGCCACCAACCAAAGACGGTCTATTCATCCTTCTTTTTTCTCCATACATAACAAAGGGCAAAAATATGTGAATCAGCAGGATGAGTCCTGACTCTGGTGAGCGTGAGAAAGGCCAGATGGGGAGGGGGCCAAGCCCAGGGGGTTCCTGTGAGGGAAGGCTGCCTGGCATGGGCCTTCTCATGCACAAGGCGGATGGCTTCCAGTGGGAGAGCAGAGACAATGAGCTAGCTGCAGGTGTGGAAAGTTCATCTTATTTTGCTTTTAAAGGAAAAAAAAAAATAGAAAACCATGCTGCACAGAGCCCAAGGTGCAGGCTTGGTTCTGCTGCTTCTGTTTCTCACTGCAGGAGGTTGGGACTTCTGAAGCCTGCACCAATGCAAGAGGGTGAGCTTCTGGCTCTGAAATGCACCCTGCAAGTCATTAAGGCTCCATACTGGGCACCCACACTGAGACAGCAAGTGGAACAGCCTTGTTTCTTCTTGTTCATTGTCAAATGTGAGAAATGAAGGTGCAGTGTGGATTCTATTTCTGTAATAATATACTAGCCGCACTTTTTATGTCCAGCAAAAGCCCATTCTAAAAGGCTGGTCAATGGTACTTTTTCTTGTAGTGGAATAAGAATTTTCAAATATTGAATATTATTTGTTAATAATAAACAATTCCTAGTTGAATTCAACAAGTGTGACAGGTTGCAATAATTTCTGTCTTTTTAAATTGCGTCCAAGGATAGCATTCTTCCTTCAGAAGTTCCAGAAAAATTCTGTGTGACATTTCTTTATTTCTCTCCTTTTCATTTATTTTCTTTTTACTTTCCTCTACTGGTTTGGTTTGAAACTTGAAAACTTTATGAGAGTGACTCAAAAAGATCCATGATTATGAGAAATATGTATGCTGTGTTTTAGGAAAAAAATTGTGTTTGTGTATGTGTATGCGTGTGCATCCATGGTAAACTACCTGGTTAGTTTTGCACCAAACCAATGTGTTTGAGGGCTGCATCCTGAATATTTAACAGTATCAAGAAAACCAAGGTCAGATTCTCATCTTATACTAGGTTAAGAGAGGAAGAGAGAGAGAGAGAAATAAAGAGAATGAAAGAGAACTAGAAAGAAAAGGATCATCAGAGACTGTCACATTCTCTCAGTGTGGATTCCCTGCCACCTTCACTCAGTGTGCATCTTCTGCCACCAGAATCATATACAACTCCAAGAACCACATCCTTGAGCTCAACGTCAGTACTTTCTTAGACCTAAGAATCAGAAAAGATTTGAGAGCGAGGAGGGATTTTAGAGACCACACTGGTCAAGCTTTCATTTTCCAGAAAACTGAGGTTCAGAGTCGGGGCCACTGTGCAAGTGGCGGGCGGACTGAGCCTCACGGCATGGGCAAACCTGGCGGGCTCTTTGTCTTCTGCTCTGGGGCCAGGCACGTTAATGCCACCCAGGACTCTGTTCAGTCACAAGCTGAAGGAGCAGCGTCTGCACAGGAGGGCCTGGAGAAGGGGCCAAGGGTCAGAGCTGTATCAGACCCAGCAGCCTATATCTACGGTCACCTTGAAATGACCGTGGGGCTGAACAACAACAAAGAAAGGGGGCTGCCAGCCCCAATGCCTCCGTAGACCCTGGCAGGAAGCAGTTACTCTCTGATGAGCAAACATCTCCCCACACCTCAATGCAAGTCTCCCGCTCTTGCACTACCCACGTGGCTACAACAAAGCTTGCTTTTGCTGAAGTTAACAACCTAAGAATATTCTGGAAGCTACACCTGATAGGTTTTCCTGCAGGGAATCAAAAGAGCTTCTCACAGCCCAGATTACTAATGGAGCGAGGCAATATCAAGATTCCAATTCAGCTGATATTCCTATTTTTTATTACATGAAATGAAACTTATTCTATTGTCAGCATATATTAGAAATTTGTACAATTGGAGAGACCTGAGAGTCTTTAAATTTTCCATGCCTCAAGTATCACTTGAAAAATAATACAAAGTTTTAGATATGGATAAAGAAGAAAACATTTAAACATTCATACTCCATCATAATAAAAAGACTTTCAGCACTGACATTTATTTGGTACTTACTATAATCTTTATTTTAGGTAGTTTCTGATTGTAAGTGTCAGGAAGGGCTCTGTTCTCATTAAAGCTGTAATGAGAAAGAAAGGAAATGTTGTCAGATACCCCTGTCTCGGATGAAAACACTTGCCATGGCAGAGGACACCCCTCCTAGAAGCCTCAAATTTTACATGCTTGAAATGCTGTAGCAGGAAGCTGTGGAATTCACTGCTTCAATTGTGACTGAATGGTTCTCCCTACATGCACACAAACTCATTCCCTTCAGTGCGGCAGCACAGGCAGAAAAGCCCATAGACTCATCAGTGGAAAGGGCCATTCCCAATACCCCACATTTTCCTTTGAGTCACATAAATGCTTGTCTGCAACTTAGCTGTTTCAAGAGCACACCCTGAAAGTTCCACTAGGGTTAATGAAGACAGAGGCATTTAGCATGCAGAGTGGAAACCTTATGGCAAGGCCTCTTCCATGCCACCTGCTCAGACATCATCAATAAAGCCACTACTTTTAAGCTTCCAGGAAGAAGCTTCCGGTGGATCACTTTTTAGTCTTTCAGAACTCCAACTTTGCTGCTTCTGCTCAGTTCCTACAATCTGAGTCATGTTCCTCCATTAAGTGAAGAAAAGGGGGAAAAAAGAGCAAAAACTAGAGAGCGCTAAAAAGACGAACTTCGACAATGAACAGTTGGAAATTAACAGAAAGGAGGAGGATACTTACCCTCCTGTGGTTTCCAGTGGCAGAAGGCGCTGCTGATAACGACCTGCCTGGCTCTGTTGAAAGGGAGAGTGCTGCAGAGATGGTGGTGCCCAGGGAGGCACCTATCCCTTTTATATTGGAGCCTCACTCTGCACGTCTGTGTGCTAGCTTTCTCCTCCCACTTCAGCCTCCTGGGCCAAAACAATGCTGGGGAACTGGTCCCTGGCTTGGACCTGATGTCTCTTTCTTTTTCTTGATTGGGTGCCAAAAGCTTTGCTATCATTCCCCACCCCCCACCCCCCACCCTGGCTTTCTGAGGTTTTTGCCCAGGGGCAGTTCCACCCAAATTCATCTTTTTCTTCTTCCTGCCATTTCTTCTAGTCCCTAAGCCACAACCTGAAATAGTTTTGGAAAGATTTATAACCAAAAAGGATCTACATAGTGTCACTTAAACCAAACTCCACAGGACAGGTTGCTGAAGGGTGGGCTCGGTCGTGGAGTGGCTGCTGCTGGGTGGAATGTTCGTGAATGTGACACAATTTCTGCATAAGTGTGGGAACAGCAAGGCTCAGAGGGGTGCACTGGGAGGTGGGAGGACAAGGGGTGTGCAGATTGTTTTCTGTAAACCAGTTTCCTAGCCTGGAGAAAACAAAAAGACAAATGTTTCCCTGGAATGTTCCTTTCTCCAGGTGAGAATCCTAGGATGAACTCTGCTGCTTTTTACAAGTTAGGAGGCAAGAATTCCATAACAGGGAGATGGAAATTAAATTTAAAAATTCCTTTCTTCCCCATTCTTTTTAACTTTCAATTCTGTGGTTTTTTTCTGTTATGGCAGAAAGCTAACATACTCAGGTGCACTGCTATGAGCACAGAATTTTAAGATAACCCCCAAGAAAGCTATGCAGATGTGGCCAGCCTCCTGCCCTCTGCAGGTGCAGATACTGTCCTTATCCGCCCTCAGTGAAGCTGTGGGCTCCACCTCCTGGACACTGGCCAGAAGACAGGGCTTCTGGTCCTCTTGGGATCCCCTCCCTGGAGGTGCCCAAGGCCCAGGAGTCTGCACCCCGAGAGGGATCCCATGGGTCAGGCTCATGATGAGAGTCTTGAGGTTCAGGCAAATCTCCCTTCAACATTTTTTTCCTGATAAAATGAGAAAATAAACTAGAGTTACGCCGAAGGAGGAAAAAAATGAGTGACCAGAGGGCAGTGTGGGGGTCTGCTGGCAATGAAAGGAATCCCAGGTTTCCAGGAGCTCGTTATGCAAATCAACCCAGTCCCTCAGTAATAACAGTGATAATGGTAATGATAGTAATGATAAAAATTATAGTAAGAACTATAATGATAAGGATTTTAATAAAGTAATGATAAGAATTGCCACAGATGGTCGAGCAGTTATCCTGGCTGCTGAGTACTTTACGTTAGTCATTTAACCATCACACAGGTCCTATGAGGTGATAGCCATTATTTCTGTTTGGCAGATAAGGAAATGGAGGCTTGGAGAGCTTAAATAATTTGTCCAAAGTTTGACTTCACACTTTGCACCATTAATCACTCTGGTGCTGTCCAGTATTTCTAACTTCTGCCTCTGTTTGCTTCATTCGTTCTTTAACTCAACCCAATCATCAGGACATTTGTGGACTCCTCCTGCAGCTACTTCCGCATGGTACCCGTGCAGCCTTCTACCTCTGGCCCTGGATGGGTTGAGGGTGTATAGCCAGCCACTCTCAGGTCTTCTGGACAGCACCACCTCCTTTGTACTTTCCCTCTCTTTCTGTCCTCTGCCCAGGGCTCTGTAAAGCCACACCTTAAATGCAGGTCACAAAAAACAGCTTTGTCATCTGGTACATATAAGGTAATACAAAACACTTGGGTTTCTAAGTCAGGTAAACCTGAGCTTGAATACTGACTTTGTCCCTTACCAACTGAGTGACCTTAGGTACTTTACTCACCCTGTCTGAACTCTAGCTTCATCACCGTAAAGTGGGTGCTTCTTTTATGAGGTTGTGGGGAGAGATGATGGGTATAAAGCACTATGCCTGACATGTGGAGTGCCACGGTTCTGTGTTTGCCCCTTTCGATCAGCACCTCGTTGCCCTTGAAGGTTCCTGAATGGTTCTCTTTTCTCAGCTTGAACCAGGGGAAAAGTTTTTCTTGATCTTGATCTCCATCTCAGAAGGGGTAAAGCTGTGAGCATGGAGACAACCAGAGCACGCAGGTGTTCCTGGTAGTTTTAAACAGCACGAATTGCACAATTCAATGCTCTTTTCTCGGTTCTTCCTCCAGGGTGTCCTGGTGTCCTTTCCAGAGTATCATGTGCCGAGTGCTTATGCCCTGAGATTGTGCCCTGCTACTCCTGTCCCATGTCTTTCCTGCACCCCCTGCATGCTGTCTGTTCCTCTTCTCAGGAAACTCGACTTCCACCTCTCCACCTGGCTGTAGTCACCAATGAACATACGGAGAGCTTCTCTCCTCTGCTTCCTTCTCTGTGGATTTTCTGCCCCTAGAGAGCTCTCCTTCTAACTTCTCTCTGCCCGTATTTATTTGGATTTCCAGGAGGCTCCTGGGAACTTAGAGCAACTTTTGTTTGTATTCTTCACTGGACATGTAAACATACCCCCAAGCCCTGCAACAGTTTTGGTGTTGTCTTTCATTTTTAAAAACATATTTTATGTTGTACAATCCTACCTGGGCTAGAAGGTAAGAATGACAAAGTTGGGAACCAATGGTTCTCTTTATTCATGATAGACCTCTTCCTTTCCAGAAAGATTTTGAGGTGGCTTATTAAATAATGTGAGAGGAGATAAGGACTGGATGGGAAATGAAGAAGAAAGGATAACAAAGCTATGGATAATGATACAGTTTTAATATTTTTCTATGATATCTTGCATTTGTAAGTATTTCTAATACATACTTGGTTTAAACTGGGAGTTGTGGCAATGCTTTTAATTCTACCTACTTGGGAAGCTGAGGCAGGACGATTGCAAATTGAGCTCAGCTGGGGGAACTTCTCAACTGTCTCAAAATACAAAACAAAACAAAAAAAGGGCTAGGGGTGTGTATAGCTTAGTGTGAAGGGCCTGGGTTTAATTCCTAGTAATAACACACACACAAAAGTCTGGAGATGTAGCTCAGCACTTCCTGGATTCAATTCCCAGTAGACACAGAGACAGACACACACATACACATATACACACTCCCTCTAAATATGTGTTGGACTCAGAAATTATTGCCACATGATTTCATTTTATTGCTACTCAATACAGTATAGGTAGTTTAGTATAGGTAGTATAGTATAGGTAGTTTAACTTTACAAATAACTTACCCCTTTAGCCTGCATAATTGGGCAGTGCCTGCACTCAGGAATTCTACAAGAGAATGCCCAGAAGGCTCCTCTGCATCCCAACCAGAGCTTTCCTAAATGGCAGAGCGACCACTGGAGAAAAAACATTCTCATTCTTCTTTATCCCCCTGTGCCCCACAAAGAGAAGCAAAGAGCCCAAATCTGGAACAGAATGTTCCTCTGCAGTGTGTTCTGAGCCCGAGGATGTTTGGCTTGGTAAACAGGCAGACAAAGAGGCACCAGAGGAGAGCCAAGTCCCCCACTGACCCAGAAGGCCACTTGGGGGGTACCCTTTGCAGTAGGCATTCCTTCCACGTGGAGCCAAGGGACAAGCAGGTGCTTGGTGCAAACGCCTCGCTCAGACCTCTGCTGCCTGTCTTGTCCAGGGGAGTGTGGGGATGGCTTATGGCAGGAGCCACTCAGGTACCTACAGTTTTGCTCTTAAATACAGTCAGCCCTGCAGTTATTCAGCTCCTTTTAAGGAGTGAAAAGGACTCAATAGCTTGGAGCACCCAAAAAGAAGTCGTTCCTCCTGCACAAAGCAGAAAGCGGGATAGTCTCCATCCCAATCCACAACTTTCATCAGATACTCATATGTACCATTTTTCTAGCTTTTAAATGAAAGCCAAGCCAGTGGAGGGTCCATAGAGTAAGCCTCTGGTGTCCTCGGCCAGTGGTACTGCAGGTTGTACATTGTACAAAGGCACCAGGTCCAAAGGCACCATTGACACCCTAGATAGTCATGTATTTATTCCAAGATTCCTGCAGATGGCACCAAAATATCTCAGGGAAAGGGTGCTGGGCTGTATTGGCTAATAATGTCCTGCTGGGGCTTTTGTTTCTTCAGGATTAAAAAAAAAATTCTCAATTTGGAACAATAGGACAAGGGGTGAGATGAACCTTTTCGATCATATTCGACTTCAGTGAGGAAGGGAGGAAGGTGTTGGAGGAAGTGAGGAGACTGGCAGGGCTGCATTTCCCTGGGCCCTCTCTTGAGGGCGGTTCACAACTCGCTGCACTGTGGATGAGGTGGTGAGGCTGGCCCCGAGCTTAGGCAGTTGGGCTTTATTTTGTAATTGGTCTGGAAAGAGAAGATTGGATGGCCTGGCATCACCACTGGGAGTGGGGATCTCTGAGGACTTGGGGTCCAGGCTACCTAGCAGGGGCTGACTGGGATGGAGCGGCTGAGGCTGAGGGTTCTTTCTGAAGTCAGGCTGGTGGCACTGGCTCAGGCTCCTCACTTTGTACCAACTGGGGCTTAATATCTGATGACCCTTAGGGGTTATCAGAAAAGCTCCCTATTTCCATTCCCCTCGCCTCTTCCTTCCTTACTGTTATGTGTCAAGGCAGGATCAGAGCCAACGGCAAAAGGAACTTCATGGCAAATGATTTCGCTACCTGTCTCATCAGCTAACTCAGAACTAGACTGACCATATTACACCCTTAGCTTCTGGGGACTGAACCTACAGACTGCCCAATCTTAGAATTTCAGCCTCCAAAACTATGAAGTAAATAAATTAATTTTCTGTATAAAATACACAGCCTCTGGTATTTTGTTGTAGTCATGGAAAACTATTGTTTCTGTGTCAACTTTAAAGATTACAGTAACTTTCAGATACTTGTGGATAGTATTCTTCGATACTGCACCAAATCTCAACAAATGCTACATGGTTTTTAACAGCTTTATTGAAGTATGGTTTACAAACTGTGAGATATACTCAATCTAAGTTAAAATGTATAATACAATGAATTTTTAATAAATTTACAGTTATACAACTGTCACCATAGTTCAGTTTTAGGACTTTTCCAT